AGGAAACGCCAGGAGAGGAGCTCAGCACCTAGAGCTCCATAAAGTGTCTAAACCATTTGTGATGAAATATGTGTACAGTGGGAAGTGGCTGTTTTTGTCTCATTTAATAATTTCATGTGGTAAACATTCATGTAACGTTTGATTCAAGCTCTTCACTTAAACAGGTGAAGAAATGAATCACATTTAAAGTAAAAATGTGATTTTATTAAAGATATATATTCATGTATGTATATATCTTCCTTTAGTAATACTAGTTAGGTTTTTTTCTTTGCTTAGATCAGTGTTTCTCCACCCTGGTCCTCAGCCCCCCTGCTCTGCATGTTTTAGATGAGCCTCTGTCCCAGAACAACTGATTCAAATGATTGCAGGACCATCAAGTCCTGCAGAAACCTGTTAATCACCCAGAGATACAATCCAGGTGTGGCAGAAGGGAAACACCCAAAACGTGCAGGACAGGGGGGCTGAGGACCAGGGTGGAGAAACACTGGTTTAGATCTTCATGTTACCTTTGTTATCCCTTGTCTCCTGTTTCATTGTGTTTTGGATTTCCTTGTTTTCCCTGGACTTTGGATTTAGTTAGTCTGTTTAGTTCAGGGGTGTCCAAAGTCGGTCCTGGAGGGCAACAACCTTTTCAGCTTGTCAATATTCCTTTTAGGTCTCTAATGATCCATCATTTGATGCAGGTGCGTTAAACCAGGGAGAGAACTAAAACATGCAGGATGCCGGCCCTTGAGGACCCACTTTGGGCCCCCTTGGTGTAGTTCATTAAAATAACATCCACATAAAGTACGTCCACCGCCACATTATGACGCAAACCAGATGAAAAAGCCCAACTTTGAACATTTAATGTGTAATTAAACAATAAAGGTGACAAGTAAATTTTATGAAACAGATCACACTTTAATAAATATTTGTTGTATTTAACATATTTCAGGTAAGTAAACATGTAATGAAATGGATCCAGTCCTAGAATTTTATGTAATTGAACATTACAGGTTACAAATGTTCTTATGTGAGGTAATATATTTTATGAACTTTTTAAAAAATATTTTTTAAATATAATTTTGGTTAAGAAATAAAAAGGGGTCAAAATGGAATATAAATATGCCTCATCTATATAGTTTAGTAGAATAATTTCACAAGGATTTTGAGTTAATGGTTGACATGACCTAGAAGCTATTGAAGAAAAATACTAAAAGCTAAAAATATATAAAGTGTTCAAATGTAATAAAGATGAGTGTGCCTCATTTATACAGTCTAGTAGAATAATTTCTCACAGATTTTGAGTTCATGGGCCACACGATTTGGAAGCTATTGAAGAAAACATTTAATATTTAAAATATTAAATATGACTTAAACATTTTATAGAGGATAGTGTGCCTCGTTTAATAGCATGAATTACCACTTTTTGTATCAGTTGGTCACAAGACAAAGCATTTATTTACAGGAGGGTTTGGAAACTGACGGTCCCCATGTGAACCTCCGGGCGCGTCAGGAGGCATCGGTAGAGAACAGCTGGCCGAAAGTAGCGTTCATGAATCGGATCAACTTTGAGCTGAACCTCCCTTACTCCGCGGAGGGAGAATATCCAGTATCCAATTTGCAAAACAACTTCGCTGCGGTCGGTAATACAATGAAAACTCTTTGGTTCTGACTAGTTTGTTTTGGTCTGTGGGCTGCAAACATGGCGCCGAGCGACGTAAACGTCATACGCTGTGACGTCACCTCCAAAGCTCTATACCTGAGGACCAACAGCGGACTGAAGGTTTTGCTTCGAGACAGTTTGATGATTCTCAAACGGAGTAGAAAAGACATGCCGAGGATAGACTTGGCTTTGGATGAATGGATATTTTTGTGCAGAATTAGCGGTGCATGGATTTCATTGATAAGTAAAGGTAAGACAGCAATAAAATGTTTGTTTTTAATGAAATGTGCGTTTTGTGGGCTACAGTTTGTATGTCTAAGTAATTCTGTAAAGCAGAAGCGGTAGCTAATCTAGTTTTTTTGGTGTTTGTTAAGAAGCAATAATATTTTCTGTAACATTTAAGTTCTAGGATGTGTGTATGTGATCCTTCTGTTTGTGAAATGTTTGTTACCTTTTTGGGTGTGTCCTTGTAGCGGCCATCTTGGAACCTACCAAAGAGGAGGCCTGCCTCAAACCCAGCTCTTTTATAGAAAGGCCCATGTTTGCTGGAGTTTGATTGGCTGGGCAGTTAATTGAGAAGGTGGAACAACAGTATATAAGGAGACTGCCTTGAGAAAAAGAGAAGCTGAGAGACTGCTGGAAAAGATGTCATTTTGTCTTGTGAGTGGATTATGCTGTGCTGAAGGAGGCCTAATAAATCACCTTTATGTATGCTTCAGCCAACTTCGCTGAGTTTTCCTTCCACACCACACCTCTCAGTGTAACAGTGTTGAAGCCTAAAACATGAAGTAGCATTGCTGTCAGTTGCTATGGCAACGAGTCTGCGTGTAGCTCGGCGGATACAAAGCGAGGAAGTTCTTTCTCGCTCTTTCCCTTTGCTGTGGATCATAGCACGAAATTAATACCTACATTTCTAAGTTTCACTGAGTTGACGCGGCTATGGATGACATGTAAATGATTAGTCTTTTTGCCTCCCAGGAAATTTCCGTAACATGTTTGGTGTCTAACTCGTAAGTCAGTGCCTCACCTGCAATGAACCTCACCGCACGTCACTGATGTATATAAAACTAAATGTGTCATAATTTAAAGCTCTGGACATCTCTGCAATCCCCAGTTTGCTCAGGACCAGTGTTCCCAGTCTGACATTCCAGACCACGGCGTCTCCTATGATGGGTGGGTCTACAGCGGATCCAGGATGATTCCACTCAGGTGTGACGAGCAGAAGGTGTTCTCTGATTGGCTGTGTGTCCTCAGGTGCGACGGTGGAGCAGTTTGAACAAGCGAAGAGCAAACTGTCGGCGCTGAAGAAGGATCCGGGGAACGAGGTCAAGCTGAAGATCTACGCTCTGTTCAAGCAGGTGAGGAGGTTCTGTTCCTGGGTCATGAAGGTTCTGGAGGTTCCTGCATGCTGTCAGTATCAGAACCTTTTCAGAACCAAAGATCATTAAACATTTAAAGGTCATCAGCATCTGCAGTTCATCTTTTGTTCTGGTCGCTAATCGGTCATCAGTCATCCAGTACCAACCGGGTCCATTGTTCTGGCCGGTTCTGGTTCTGATCAAAGGGAAGTGAGATGAAACCAAGAACCAGCTCTGACCTTCAGCGTTCAGCACCAGAACCACAGGAAGAACCTTACTTTGGTCCAGATCAAAGTCATGGAACCTGCTGGATCTTTGCAGCTGTGCGGTTCTGACCCAATGTCTCAGCTTGGAGGATGGAGGACGTCGGTCTGGTGACGGCAAGTTCCAGGAGGTGGCACTAAGGCATGCTGGAAATCGGTTCTGGTACCGGTCAATGAACTGCAGACTAGTTCTGGTGTCTGGGCCACAGTTGGATCCCTGGATGTCGTCTTAAGTTGAAGGGTCCAAACGGTGCTTACTAGGCCTAGCCTAGCCTAGCGTAGCGTAGCATTCTCTGGTTCTGTTCCCTGGTGTTCTCATGGTTCCTTTTCACTCCAGGCCTGGAAGAAAACTTGAGTTTGGTTCAGACAGAAGCAGCAGGGGGCGCTGGAAGCATCAATACATATGTACATAAACACTTTTAGAGGTTGATACTTCACCGGCTGTGTGTTACCATAGTAACAGCTCCTCCTCCTCCTCCAGGCCACTCAGGGTCCCTGCAACACTCCTAAACCAGGAATGCTGGACTTTGTGAACAAGGTCAAATGGGATGCGTGGAAATCTCTGGGCTCCATCTCTCAGGTACGACTGTCCATCGGCTCCTCTGTGGTTCTGATCGGATCCATAGTTCTGCTGGTGAAGCTTCAAATCATAAACTTCCTGTTATGTTAGGATTGTTTCTTTTCTGTAAGGTCAGAATGTCCCATTAGTTCTGGACCGTTTGCAAAACAACTGGCAGATCAGAACTTTCCTCCAGCAACTGACCGTTAAGGTTTCTACCTATCAGGATGAAGCCAGGGAGCAGTACTGCAACCTGATTGGCTCCCTGGTGGAGGCAGAGGGAGGAAGCTCCGCCCAGGTCACTGCAACGCCTGTTGGGGGCGGAGCCACATACGAGACGCTGTTGGTCTCTACGGCCGATGACATCACCACCATCAAACTGAACCGACCGGCCAAGAAGAACGCCATCACACCTGAGGTCAGCAGGTGAAACCAGGAAGCCCCGATGATGTCATGTGACATCATTTCCTGCTGGTTCACTTCCTGTTACCCTAATTTCTTCTTTCAGATGTACAACGAGATCATAGCAGCTCTGGAGCAGGCAGCTAAAGA